ATGAAAGGTCTCGATGAGTGTAACATCGGAATGACCTTATATCTTTAAAAATGTCAATAGTTACGAAAGTACAGTGCAATTTAACAAAAGTCATTATTTAATAAAGCAAAATTTTATTTATTTATAGTTCACGTCTCGGCAGTCACATAGTGACTGCAAGGTTGCTAGTTATCAAATAATAATAAAATTTTAAAATGAACAGATAAAAATAAAAAAATAATTGTTAAGATTTTAATAAACAGCAAAGCAAATCACTTCTTAATTTTTGAGAATCTCCGACTTTCACATCGAAGAGTTAAAACTAAAATCCAACTCGAAAATCCATCATAATAAAAGTACAAACGTGTGTATATAACCAAGAAAGGTAATTGCTGTAATAATTTAAGGGCGCGGCACGAAGTAAATATAACTCGTCTCTCCCGATGCGTAGCATATTTAACATAGGTAATATCTATACCCAACCGGTGATCGGTGATCGGTATCCACTTGAAGATCAAGAACACCCGGTACTTTAAAGAAAATCGATACCTCCAATCATCTTATATTCTGTACAGTTTGCACTCATACATATATAAATAAATATGTAATGCGTATACAAATCGGGCAGGTGGAGGGTGTAAGAATGGAAGGAAATTGAAGGGTCACATCCATTGAAACCAAACTGCTAAATTTCTTCTTCTTTTTCTTGCAAGTTATTCTTGTCGTACTTTTCTTTTCAATAAGTTGCACTGTACAAATAATACAAATAATTATTTACATCCGACATTCCATGCCGATTAATAATTTATCTCGAAGATTTAACCGGTAACTCAAGCGACGAGTTAATTAATATTCTTCATCAGCAGTATCAGCCTGAGAATTTAATAAATAAAAGTAATAGTAATAATCAAGATCAAGGTATGAACATTTATAGCGTCAATATTTAAAAATATTACTCGGATATCTTGCATGGGGCACATTATCGTCAGGCTTATTTATATCACCATTATTATTAATGTACATACGGGTCTATTGAACACCAATAAGTGTAAAATCAACGAAGACATTGCAATTGATTGCCGTTTAATGTAATCGGCTCTTATCCAGTTGTTACACCAGTTTACAATTTTTCTTTATTTTTTTTTGGTTCGTGCAAAAGCTTAAGTTTAGTTTTTTAAGAAAAATATTAATTATAAATTTTTATTTTTAAAGTTGATAATTTTCTACACTGATTAAAAAATTAACTTGACTCAAAAGCCAAAATTTTGAACTAAGGATACTATTTTGAAGAAAATAATTTTCTTAAGTCAAGAGAAAAAATTCTTGAGACAAGAAAAATTTACTTAGTTCAAGAATAATTTCTTCACTCAAGAAAATCATTTTCTTTAAAATAATATTTTTG